GAGTAAGACTGTCAATAATATAAACTGAATTCCTAGGTGAGAAAAAGGTTTTGTCAGTTCAGGTCTTGGTCTCTTTTACCTCTGTCCCCAGAGGTGATTTAGTCCTGCTTCTAAGTTTTTTTTAAAGATTTATTTTATTTTTATTAAAAAGTCAGTTATACAGAGAAATGTAGAGATGGAAAGGAAGATTTTGCATCCATTGATTCACTCAGCAGGTGGTAGAAATGGTCAGAGCTGAGCCAATTTGAAGGCAGGAACCTTGATCCTTCTCCAGGTCTCTGACACACCTGTTGTGTCCCAGGGCATTGGGCTATGCTTGACTGCTTTCCCACGCTACAAGTGTGGAGCTGGATGGGAAGTTGGGATATTGGGATTAGAACCAGTGCCAGTATGGGATCATGTCGTGTGCAAGATAGGGACTTCAGGCATTAGGTTACCATGCCGGCTCATGTTTGATATTTTGGTTTCTTACAATTTGTGTCTTTCGTAATGTGGTAGCATAGCAAATCAAGTGCTACCTGCATTGGTACCAGTTCAAGATCTGGCTGCCTCACTTGCAATTCTGCTCTTCATTAATACATATGGGAAAGCAGCCTAAGGAGTCCAGAGTGCTGGGGTCCCTTCTGTCTCGTGGCACCCCCAAAAGAAGCTACAAATCCCTTGCTTTTGACTGGCCCAATAAGTGCTCCCATATAAAGAGTGAACCAACACATAAAAAAATCTCTTTCTTTGCCTTTCCAATAAATAAATATGCCTTATAAATATGCATTCGCTTATTTTCAAGTGAGAGTTACAAAATAAAAGAGACAGAGATCTTCTATCCATTGTCTCTCTCGCCAGTTGGCCAAAATAACCAGTCCTGGACCAAGCCAATTCCTGCAGCCTGCACCTTTTCCCAACTGATTAGCAGAGAGCTGGGTTGGATGTGGAACAGCTGAGTCCATATGGGATGCTGGTGTTGCAGCTGGCAGCTTTACATATTATACCACAATGCTGGCCTTTGCTTTTGTTTTTGTACTGATGGCAGTGTTTTTCTTGCTTTTACTTCTCATACGCTGATTCATGGCAAGTGTTTTGCATATGGGAAATATTCTTTTGTCACAAATTGTGGGTGAATTCTGATGCTGTATGAGGTATTGGTAGGGTAGAAGGATTGGAGTCTAACATTTCTCTCCTGTGCTCTTCTTTCTTTTGTGGTACTCCAGGACTTGGTTTGACTCTCTTTTCTTCATGTGGTGTTAACTAATATGCCTGTGTGATCACCTTGGCAAGCAGTCTCCACCACTGGCTGGGCACTGACACTGCAGCATTAACTTGTCCTGATTGCTGCCAGTCGGTGTGGACCTTCCCTTGCTGGTCTGTGAGATTTTCCTTCCCATAATGTGCTGCTCTGTTTGGCATCAGTGGAAAGAAGCATGTGGTCCTCTAAACTGTGTGTGTGAAAAGCTGCACCAAACATTTTCAGTTACTATTTTCAAATTATTCCTTATTCTCATTATTATTTTACAAAAAAATTTATTCATGTATTCCATGTAAAAATTCATGAGACACAGTGATTTACCATCTGATGGCTAACTCCTTCAATTCCTGCAAGATTGTGACAAGGCCTGGGTAAAACAGGAGCCAGGAAGTACATCTGTGTCCATGACAGCAGTTGCAAAGACTTGCATATTTGAGAAATTCCCTGCTTGCTGCCAGGGTGTGTGTTAGCAGCAAGATGGAATTCGGTGTTTAGCTTTATTTTATTTTTTGTTATATTTTTGACAGTCTTTACATAGCTAATTAGAATAAAAAGGTTGAAGGGCTATAGGAAAACGGGTAAGACTATTATTTCCATATTGTTTCTTTCAAGTTTAAAAGGTGGGTATTAAAGGAGAAGGCCCACCCAATTTCCCACCCTCCGCAGGTCCTGGATGTGGGACATGCTCCGAGATTCTTGTTGAAGTGGTTTTGATGGTTCACTAGTTATAAACACGATTGGCAAGATTGGCAGTGTTTCACAACTGGTGCTTAGCTTTCACGGAAACACAGGAAGTCCAGTATAGGGTGAGGGTCTCCTCGCAGTTTCTCCACCCTTCACCCACAGACCCACATCTCCTCGTTTTAACTGAGCACTTATAGGATAGTTTTTTTTTTGTCTTTTCTTAAGATATCAAGGATATGTGTCTCCTATATTTTTGTTTGTATCATTTTCTTAGAGTATGCCTTGTGCTTTTGCATATAATCTAAACCCAATTTTAATTTGTACTGTACTATTTCTTGAGAAGTTAAGATGTGTTATAGTCCCAAGTATTTTAACATTTTCTGTGTGTAATTACTGTCATACTTATTAAAAACTAACAATTTTTTCAGTGTTGGCACTGTCATTTTGAATAAAGATTTATAGATTCAATGGTAGGGAAATTGTAAGAGTGAATATTTGTACCATTGTTTGGTGTTAAACCCTTTTCTCAATGACCCGCCCTCCAAAATCACATTGTACTTTCTGATTAATTTCTCCATTTGTTTAGGAGGATGTGAGAGGAATCAGAATTTGAATTCACTGGTTTATTTCTGAGACGCCCACAGCTGCACAGTATCAATGAGGGCTAAGCTGGGAGCTGAGAACTGAATGCAGGATTTTTCCTGTGGGTAGCAGAACCCCAGTGCCTTAAGCCATCACCGCTGCTTCCCAAGGTCTGCATTAACACAGAGCTGGAATCAAGGTCAGAAGTAGGAATGGAACCCACGGACTGCAGTGTAAGGTAGACGTTCCTTACCTGCTAGGCTGAACACTCATCATGTGTGGGGCTTTTTGTTTGTTTGTCTCTGTCATATTTTTAGTCATTAGTGTCCAAAATTGATCCAATTTTGAATATGTTGTCTGTGAGTTGACAGTAGAATTAAAATGAATCAAACATTGTGAGGAGAATATTTTGGTTGAGGTGGAACGAATGCATCTTATTTCAATGCACTTAATTCAAGCTGGATGCTCCACTCTGTCTTATTTTTAAGATTTATTTGTTTCCATTTGAAGGTGAGAGACACAGACAGGAGGAGGAGAGACAGAGAGATCATCTGTCTGCTCAGTCCCTCCCCAGGTGGCCACCATGGTTGATGCAGCTGATCCAAAACCAGGAGCCAGGAATTTGTTCCGAGTCTCCCAAGCGAGTGCAGGGTCCCAAGGCCTTGCGTCGTCCTGGACTGCCCTCCCAGGCCAGAAGCAGGGAGCTGGATGAAAGAAGGGGCCAACAGGACATGGATTAGTGACCATATGGAATCAGGGGTGTGTTCATGTGAGGACTTTAGCCACTAGGCTACAGCACAGGTCTCTACTCTACCCTTAATCCAGCTTCCTACTAATGCCTCTGAGAAGCAGCTGGTGGTGGCATAAGTACTTGAGTGTCTCCCATCCACATGTGACCTGCAAGGCATGGGGTTGGGCCTAGAGTCAGTCTGACACAGCCACAGCTGTTCAAGGCAATCAGAAGAACAAACAAAGACATTTTGCAAAACATGCTTTTTCCATCATTCTTCCTTTCAAGTGCATAGGCACAATTGAACAAAAGCAACAAAAGCAGTGTAACTCTCTTTCTATCTAGGTTCAAGGTTAGCTTTCCCACAGTGGCATGTACAAAATACCAAGAAATTTTACTGCAAATCATGTACAAGAGGAGCAAGAGGTTCGATGAGAAAAGCAGCCCTGTGGTTTGATTACAATGTTGTTTGTCTATTTATATGTGTATTTATTTATTTACTGCTTACTCATCTGCCTATTTTAAAGATTGATTTAGAAAGGCAGATATCCAGAGAGAAGCAGATACAGAAAGATCTTCTGCTTTCTAGGTTACTCCTCAAGTGGACTCAACTCCTGGAGCGCAGCCGGAGCTCAGCCCATCTGAAGCCAGTATCTGGCAGTGTCTTCCTGATCTCCCACATGGGTGCAGAGTGCCAAGGTTTTGGGCTGTGCTCCACTGCTTTCCCAGGCCACAAGCAGGGAGCTGGATGGGAAGTGGAGCAGCCAAGATTAGAACTGGCACCTATATGGGATCCCTCTGAATGTGAGGACTTAAGCCGCTAGACTACCATGTCAGTCCCGGGTTTTGAGTATTTAAATGATACTTGGAATGGATGTTGTAAGTTAACATGTTACATTGCTGCATGCAATGCCAGCATTTCATATAAGGATCAGTTATACTCTGATGCTCCCTTTCTTTCTTTTTTTTTTGACTGTATGTATATATTTATTAATTACATTGCATTATGTGACACAGTTTTATAGGCACTGGGATGTTCCCTTTATGACCTAGCTTTCTGCTACAGTGTGTGGAAGATAACATAAACATCTCAATTCCCAATTTCTAGGACACCTGCAGCCCTGTGGAGGATTTGAATGCAATTGCAGGCTCCTGGTTTTGGCTGGACCTTGTTTAATCGTTGTGCCCATAGGGGAGTGAACAAGTGGAGGGAAGATCTCAGTCTTTCTGTGTTTGACTCTTGTACTGTGATTCTCACATTTAAGCCAATGATAAATTGTTTTGACAGAATTCAAAAGGGCCTGGCATGGTAGCATAGTGGCTAACGTCCTTCCTTGAATGAGCCAGGATCCTACATGTTGGCCAGTTCATGTCCTGGGTATTTCACTTTTTATCGTGCTCCCTGCCTGTGACCTGGGAAAGCAATAGAGGACAGCCCAAAGTCTTGGGACCCTGCATCTCCATGGGAGACCCTGAAGAGTCTCCTGACTCCTGGCTTCAGATCATTTCAGGTCTCCCACTGTGGCCAATTAGGAGTGAAGCAGTTAATAAAAGCTCTTTCTCTCTGTCTCTGCTTCTTTGTATAAATCTGAATTTCTAATGTAAATGAATAGATAAAAAGTTTAAATGCAATTATGAATTAAAAAGGTGGTAACTGTACTGTATTCTGTGTAGATTGGAACTGTTTAATGGTTTCAGATGGCTCACTGTTAGTTTGAAGGGATGACTCTGATTTTAAACAAATTCTAGTGAGTTTTGATCGGCATGTACTTGAATGCTGTCGTCAGGTACAGTGCAGTATTTGAGTACATATATGTCATAAGCTGAGTAAACCAGGTGCCCAGGCTTTGTTAGACAGCACACGGGGTCCTCCGTTCCAGTGTCCTGCATAAGCTTATCATATTGTGAAGTGCAGTCACCACACGCTGGGATGGAACCCTGGGTCTTGTTCCTTCTGTCTCAGTTTCTTTGCTAGCTGTTCCATCTCCCTCCTGTCCCCAGGTCTCACTCTTCCCAACCTGGAATAATCACCATCCCAAGTCTTATCATTCATTTCTTGTGGTTCTAATGATTAAACATTGAAGAACAAGATGAGAATAGATTTGTTTTCTCCTGAGGTCACTGCCTGGCCAACTCACAGCTTTCATGGTGTTTGCTCTGTCCCTGGGCATCCTTAAAGGAACTGAAATTAGTTTGAAGTGGATTCACAGTGACTATCGTTTCTGGTAATCACACTCTTTAAAGTTTTTTTTTAAATATTTTTATTGGAATATTAAAAACAGAGAGGATGGGAAACAGAGGAAGATCTCCCATGCACTCATTCACTCTGCAATGGATGAAGAGGCCAGACCTGAGCTGATCCAAAGCTAGGATCCGGGAGTTTCTTCTGGATTGCTTACATAGGTGCAGGATCTCAAGTCTTTGGGCCACCCCTGACTGTTTTCCCAGGCCACTAACAGGGAGCAGGATGGGAAGTGGAGCATCCGGGAAAAGAACCAGTATAAATATTTCATCCAGCACATGCAAGGTGCGGACTAAAGCCACTAGGCTACCATGCTAGGCCCAGTAATTACCTCCGTAAAAGTGCTTTTCTTGGGCCAACAATGATAGCCTAATAGCTAAGGTCCTTGCTTTATACGTGCTGGGATCCCATATGGGTGTTCAATCTAATCCCGACTGCCCCACTTCCCATTCAGCTCTCTGCTTGTGGTTTGGGAAAGCAGTTGAGGACAGGGCTTGGGACTCTGGACTTGTGGAAGACCCAGAAGAGAGTCCAGGCTCTTTGCTTTAGATTAGCTTAGCTCCGGCCATTGTGGTCATTTGGGGAGTGAATCAATGGACAGAAGATCTTCCTCTCTTATGTCTGACTTTGTAATGAAAAAGTAAAAAGTATTTAAGAAAAAAATGTACTGTTTTATCCTCAGCATGGTGGATTAGCGACTAAGGTCCTTGCCTTGAAGGTGCCAGGATCCTATATGGACGCTGGTTTGAATCTTGCTGGGCATGCTTCCCATCCAGCTCCCTGCTTGTGGCTTGGGAAAACAGTCAAGAATGGCCCAATGCCTCAGGACCTGCACCCAAGAGGCTCCGGCCTCCTGGCTTTCGATCGGCTCATATCTGGCCATTGTGGTCACCTGGAGAGTGAATCATCAGACGGTAGACCTTCCTCTATCTTTCCTCCTCTCTGTATATGTGACAATGCAATGAAAAGAAATTTTAAAAAAGGAAAGAAAAGAAAAGAATGTGCTGTCTGTCTCAAAGTAATGTCACATTGGGGATCCAGCCCCCACGGTATAAAATTTAGGGAAACCCGTTTCTGTCTAGAGCAGTTAGAAGGAGCCAGTGATCTGACACAATGACAATTAACTTTGAAGTTTATTTGCTTTTTGAAACTAGCATTATGATTGCTCATGGTTTCATTTTAAATATTATCTCTGTCAGCAGTGCTTCATGCCTAATCGTACCCACACATACCCAGATCACCTGTATAAGCATATATACAGCATTGTGAATATGCTTGATGAACATATGCAGGTCAACATTGGGTAATCCACAAAACATTAAGTAGAAAGAATGATAAAAGTAACATGTGCACTAAACAACATTTGTAATTTTCAAAATATACATTCTAAAATTTGAGAAATGAAGCAATGTCCAGACATAATAGTCCTACTCAACAGTCAGCATGAAGGGTGTCTTCCTATGTCTGTACCTACTGCTTTAAATCACAGTTACAGGAAAGTAGTACTTGGGACTAAAGCAAACATGGAATGATGCGTTTCCAAAAGCATAAGCCTAATACCATGGTTGCACAAACAATGAATCAATGCATTTTTTTGTTCTGTGATAAGCAATTGCAATACTCAAATTCTCAAGTATATGATACGAGTATTTGTCAACACAGAAGCTGATATTGCCCATGTAGTGAGCTTGGGGTGACATTTGCAAGCGTAAAAATAAAATTTATATTGTACTTATAAGATTAAAACATGTTATGTGAATATCATCAAAGCCTCTGAAGCACACAAATCATGAGGATCATTAATGGGATGCATATCACTGAGTTCATTTTTCTTTTGCCTAGTGTGTCCTACTTGTGTGGCAAGTAGAGACATGCACATTCAGAGTATGCAAGCACTCATGAGAGTGGGAAGGATAAACAGAACTTGCATTCACCAGGTCACTCCCACCATGACCCCAGGGTCTCTATTCCAGGATCCGACATGTCTTCCATGTAGGTATCAGGGCCTAATTCCTGGCATCATTCCCTGCCATGTCAGGTGTATTTTATACACTGACCAGAAGCAAATGGCGGGTGCAGAATCCGGTGCTCTGCTACCTGGATGACAGCAGTACCAGTAGTGGCTCAAGCTGTCGTGTCTCAATGACAACCCTCATTCAAAAACTAGTTTTAAAGAAAAGGGAAAAAAAATGTTCTTATGAAGATTCTCAAATGGTGCCAAATGGAGACATATTTGAAGAAAAATCAAGATTTGATCCTGGCAGGGAGACTCCATGTTATTTGAACCTAGACCTGGTTCCTCCCTCCGCCATGAGGACCAGGTCAAGTGGGAACTGCTCTCCAGGCAATTGCAACTGAGAACACAGTCCTCCCCCTCGTGCTGAGTGCCAGCAGAAGATGACATCAGCACTTTTTCTGTCCTCAGTTACCTGTTGTCATCACCATGCTCTGCTGAGTGGTGTGAGAGGAATGGGCCCAGGGCCCGCAAGGGTGATGAGGCTCTTATTGAGCATGAGGACACCTGGCTCCCATCTTCACCATATTTTTATTTGAAAGACAGCATTGTAGAAAAAGAAATAGAGACGGAGAGGGATCTTCTTTCTGGTGCTTCACTCCCTAAATGTGTTCATTAGTTGAAGGTAGGCTGGTCCTAGTTAGGAGCTTGGGGTTTCTCCTACCCTCTGACATGAGTAGAGGGGCCCAGGGACATAGACCATGCTTTGCTGCTTTCCTAGCCATGAGCGGGGTTCTGGAGTGTAAGTGTAGCAGCCAAAACCAAAGCAGCACCATATGGGATGCCAGCATTGCAGGTTGATTCTTACCATAGGATTCATGTCCCATCTTTTTGTATTTTCTTATTAAGATTTATTTTTAGTCCAAAGTTAGATATACAGAGAGGAGGAAAGACAGAGAGAAAGATCTTCTGTCCGATGACTCACTCTCCCTGTGACTGCACCAACTGGTGTTGCACCAGGTCTCCCACATGGGTGTAGGGTCCCACGGCTGGGCCATTCTTGACTGCTTTCCCAGGCCACAAGCAGGGAGCTGGATGGGAAGTGGAGCTGCTGTGATTAGAACCAGTGCCCATATGGGATCGTTGTGCATTCAAGGCAAACACTTTATCCTCTAAGCTTTGGCGTCTTGCCCCAGAAAGAATACATTTCAAGCTATATTGCTGTCATGTATATGGATATCTATGGGCTAGGGCCACTGAAATGGCAGAGTCGCATGTCATTGTGTGTTATATCTATGTTTCATATATTGTGTGGACAAAATTGCTCTGATGGAAAGATGTTTGCCTTCTACAGATGTTAGCATGAACCTCAAGTGTGTTCCAATGGAAGTCGTTACGTGGAGTCCTATGCAGCTCATTGTAGAAATAGAGAAATGCTTTATACCTCCCAATCCTTTCTGTGTAGTGGACATCTTAGTGACAATATGATATTTTCTATGATATTTTGTTTTTCTTTTAAAGATTTATTTTTATTATTTTTCTATTGGAAAGGCGGATATACAGAGAGGAGAGAGAGATAGGAAGATCTTCCGTCCGATGATTCACTCCCCAAGTGAGCGCAACGGGCCGATACTATGCCGATCCGAAGCCAGGAGCCTCTTCCGGGTCTCCCACGCGGGTGCAGGGTCCCAAAGCCTTGGGCCGCCCTCGAATGCCTTCCCGGTCCACGGGCAGGGAGCTGGAAGGGAAGCGGGGCTGCCGGGATTAGAACTGGCGCCCATATGGGATCCTGGGCGTGCAAGGCGAGGACCTTTAACCTCTTGCACACCGCGCCGGGCCCTATGATATTTTGTAATTTGTGCAATAGTAAGAGTAGTTGTGGAAAAATGGTTGCTGCTTGGCATTCACATTATTGATTGATTGATTGATTGATTTTTCATTGGAAAGTCAGATTTATAGAGAGGAGAGACAGAACAAAAGCTCTTCTTTCACCTGGCTCACCCTCCAAGTAGCCCCAACATCCAGAAGACGGCCAATGCATGGCAGGAACAAGGAGCTTCTTCCAAGTCTCCCATGTGGATGCAGGGTCCCAAAGTATTTTGCTATCTTTGACTGCTTTCCCAGGACACACGCAGAGTGCTGGAATAAAAATGTAGCAGTCAGGATATGAATCAGCACCCATCTGGGGTCTTGGCACATGCAAGGTGAGGACTTTAGCACTAGGTTATGGTGCTGGGCCTAGTCACATTTTAAAATAACTAATAGTTGTTTCCTTGAGTTTGTTTTAGTTTAGTCAGTGCCAGTTATTGAAATTGCTGATATTGCTTCAAGAAAGACTTCCTGGTCCTTGTAAAGCACTACTCTTGCCCAGGGAAGCTGATTGCTTTCGTTTCTCCAGCCATTGTGTCTGCTTCCTGCCTTCACATTACTTAGCACCGTAGGAATCACCAAGGAGCCTGGGAACAAGCAAAAAAAACTCATGACTCCCTCTGCCCACCTTCTCTTGCAGGTGTAGCCCTGTGGCGTGCTTCATGCTTCCAAGGCTGCAGAACACACACACACCTTCAGTAAGTTGTTTGTTTACTTCTCACCTTGTTTTACATTTCATTTTAGGAACTGTATGATGGTTTTAAACTAAAATGAAAAGGCAAGTATAAGAAAGAAGGCAGAATTGTCGTAACCAAGACATTGGAGGTGTCAAACTTGTTGAAACTTTCCCATGAGATTTTCTGATGCCATAGCCAAGACATGTTTATTATTACATGATTCAAATGGAAACCAAGAATTTGTTAATGACTGTGGGATATCAAGTTTGAAATGGTGTTTACTGATCATCCTATTTATTTATTTAAAGACTGACTTGCAGCAAGAGAAGGAGAGACAGAGCCAGACATGTCTGCTCTCTGCGGAGTGATTTTCCCATGGTCACAATGGTCAGGCTGGACCATGTCACAGAAGAACCAGGAGGTCCATCTGAGTCTCCCAGATGAGTCTCCCACCCAAGTGCTTGAGTCATCTCCCACTGTTTCCAATTCACATTGACTTAGAGCTGGATTGGAAGTGACGTAGATGGTAGCTTAGGCTGCTATGCCACAATGCCATTCACTACTGAACGGTGATTTTGCTATTGCAAGGTTTCCTTTTTGTTTGTTTTGTCTTTAAGATTTTTTTAATTTGAAAGGCAGATCTGCACAGAAAGAAAGAAATGGAGAGACATCTCCCATGTGCTGGTTTACTTCTCAAATAACCAGAATGTGCAGAGGTGAGCAAGTCTGAAGCCATGAGCCAGGTGTATTGTCCAGGCCTCCTACTTGATTACAGGAACCCAAGTGGTTGAGCCATCCTCCACTTGCTTTCCAGGCCTGTTTTCAGAGAGTGGGGTCAGAAGTGGAGCATCCAGGATGTGAATGCCAGTGAGATGCCAGTCTCTTTATTGGCTAAACCATAAGACTGGGTCCCTGTTCATTCTGTTTGGTTTTCATTTCAAATGCAAAGTTTTTCCACTTGGCTGCAATGGCAAGAGCTAAGCCAATCCAAAGCCAGGAGCCTCTATTGGATGTGGCACACGGGTGCAGGTGCTCAAGAGCTTGAGCCATCCTCCATTGGTTTCCCGGAGCAAAAGCAGGAAACTGGATTGGAGGTGGAACACACAGGACATGAACTACACTGATATGATCAGCTTAGCCCATCAGGCCACAGTTCAGTCCATAGATACTGACTTCTTTCAAAGGAATTGGACAGACCATGAAAATATGACATGCTCCCTGCTTCTGCCAGATGATATCCTGTACTGGTTCCAAAGTTTGTGAGATGGTTAACACCATAGGCAGTCCTTGAGTACCATTTGTAATATTAGCTTCATCATTTTACACTTCAATCAGCATACCTGATTTCCATTTCTCTGTGAACACTTTTGAATGAAGGTCATTGCAATGGGTATGAAGTGGTATCTCATTGTGGTTGCCATTTTCACTCACCTAATGATGAATCATGCTAAGAATCTTCTTGTGCTAATTAGGGTTTTGTTGGTCTTTGTAGAAATATCTGTTTAGTTCTTTGCCCATTTTGGAATCTGTTTGTATTGCTTTTGAGCCTGTTCAGTGGTTTCCAGCCAGATGGCCCCAAGAGGGTGCCACCTGAGGGGGTGAGGCGTCAGTGTTCTCCAGCTACAAGAACCAGTGTGGACAGTTTGAGGGCATGTCCATTTATTGTGAAGTGAGCACAACTGCTATGGACTCGGAAAGAAGATGGCAACAGAGCAGTGCCTGACAGGCCTGCCACCCAATAGTGACACTGTAATTGACTATAAGACATGTGTATCCCTTTAAACCCTCCAGTCTTGTCACAGGTCATATTCTGCACACCAGTGCATGCCATGCCTGAGGTTACGGGTAGGTGGGCTGTTAGTCATGCCCAGCAGGTGGTATTTAAGTTCACAGTCATACTTCTAGTATAATACAAAATTTTTTGCTTTGCAACTGATGCACAAACTAAAAATTGAGATTGTCCTGTAACTCTACCACTCAGTGACACTTAATGATTTTTTCAATGTCACAACAATGTTTAATGTTGGGAAAGCAATTCCTAAAACCAGCCCACACTGAATGTGCTGTGATGTGCGAATAGGAGTGAAATCTTGGTAACTACAAATTGGCTGCTAATGCTATTTTTTTTTTTCATTTTTAAATTATATTTTTGACAATCTTTACATAGTAAATTAGGGTAAAAAAGTTTAACTGCTACAGGAAAATGAGTTAAACCATTATTTGCGTATTGTTTCCTTCTTATCTGAGGTAAAGGGGAATTTTAACAGAGAAGCCTCACCCAATCTCTGACCCACCCCAGGTCCCTTACGTGGGGCATGCTCTGATTAGCCTAGTTGGAAGGACCCATAATAATCCCCACCAGGCCCACCCCCTACCCTGGTTTGCCAGTCTGTGTAGCAGACTAGCCCAGTATTTCCCCCATCCCATTCAGGTCTCACACATGTCAATGGGTATTGAAGTCTAGTTCCATCTAACTAGCTCCACTATCCAGTCCTCTCGGATGTTGTTGGGTGTCTCTCTGTCAAGCCACCCCAGCCCCTGCCCTGGTTTTTGTTCCCTCCAGTGGGAGTGGTAACCCAACCCAGAGGAACCCACTGTTTCCCTCCCAGGCCGCTCCCACACCTGGATTATGCACTCTCCAGGTAGTTCTGTGGTTTAACTTGACAGAATTAGCCCCCAGTGCCAGCTTCTGACATCTGATGCTGCGGCTAAGCTCAAATAACCCTCACACACTCTAATTATTATTTTTTTTTTTTGGCACCATGAGGAACCATCAGCCCAGCCTGGCTTTTCCCTAATCTTGTCCACAGGAGGCCCACAGGTGTTGTAGTCCTGCTTAGTCTGGTCTGCACCCATCCCAGCTCACGCTCTCCATTGGGAGTAGTTGACAAGCAGTGGAACCCCACCATATTCCCTCTGTTGGCTCCACCCTCTCCCTTCCTGGTTCTCATGCATGGTCTGCTCCTGACCCATTGCAAATATATGCCAGTGGGAAACTTTCCATGGCCTGTTCTGGGCTGTTTCCTAGCGTGCGTCTTGCGCTTACCTGCCGGGTCTGTGTCCTGCCAGAGGAATTGCCCAGGCCCCTCCATCAGAACCTCTCCCAATGCCAGATTTTGTGCATACCAGGGGGTCCAAGAGCCAGACCTACTCAGTTCACTTCCTGTCCTAGCAGGAACAGTGGCTTTTCCTGACTGGCCTTCAACCCAATCTGGTTCTTACTGTTGGATGTTTCAGCCCAGCCATGGCTCGTCATACCCACACATGTCTCAGACATGGCTCAGTAGGGGTTGAGACCTAGCCACATGTTCACCAGCGAGAGCTGTGATTCACAAGGGGAGTATTCCAATTTCCTCCACTTGACCCACTCCCAGACCCAATTCTCATACATTCCATTGGGTTTTAGGTCAGTACCAGGCTTAGCCTTGCCTTCCGTTTAGTCTTGTATGAGCAGGTGAATGTTGTATCCTTGTCCACCCCACACCGTATTCAGGATGCACATTTGGGTGCTGCTGCTTTGACCAGTCCAGACTGCTGTCGGTTCATTAACCTGTGATTGTTGGCAGGTTCCTTGGTCACACCTAGTTTAGTCCATCACCCCTTCAACTTTTGAGCTCATTAGTGGAGCTAGAATTTCCACGGGGTTCTAGTGATGAATTTGGCAAGAGTAAAGAAAGTATTTGGAAGAGTGGAACTGAAATAAAAACACATGGCATGCAGCCAAAGACAAACAAGTAAACAAATAAATAAATAAGGAAATAAAAACAAATAGATAAATCGATAAATAACATTATTGAATGTGTTACTGAAGTTAGACTTTACATGATGGGTTCCTTCTATCAGAGAGAACATTTGGCATTTGTTCTTTTAGGATTGATGTATTTCTCTGAGCATAACGGTCTGTAGCTGGGAACATCTTGCTGAAAATGGTATAATTTCATTCTATATTCCATGGAGTAGATGTACCACTGCTTCTTTACGCACTCCTCTTTGGTTACGCATCTGGGTTGTTTCCATGTCTTTGCTATTGTAGATTATGCTGCTGTCAATATAGGATTATATATCCCTTACTCATATGCAGGTTTCATTTCTATTGGGTATATTCCTATGAGCAGGACAGATGGGTCATTTGCCATGTTTATTTGCAATTCTCCAAGCTTATTACCACAATGGTAGTACTAGCCTACACTCCCACTAGCAGCAAAAGAGTTTACCTTTCTCCACACATCCATCCATGCCAGCAGCTTTGTTAGAAGAGTTTTAAATGTAGCCAGTCATGGAGTTAGGTGGTATCTCAATGTGGTTTTTGTTTTTATCTCCCTGATGGCTAGGAGCCTGAGCATCTTTTCATATGTCTGTTGGCCATTTGAATTTTGTGTGTGTGTGTTTGTGTGTATTTTTTTTATGACTGTTCCTTTCCTTTGACCATTTTTTTTTCAATAGGGTTTCTTGTTGTTAGTTAGTTTTTTTGTTTTGTTTTGTTTTGTTTTGATTTGTTTAATGTACTGGATTTCTGAAGCTCCTCTGTCACTCGTGTAGTGTGCAAAAATTTTCTCCCAATTCTGTTGGTTGCCTCTTCACTTTGTAATTGTTTCCTTTGCCATACAGAAGCTTTTAAGTTTGATGTAGTCTTATTTGTTCATTTTGGCTTTGACTACCTTTGCTTTTGGTGTCTTTTCTAAGAAACCTTTCCTGTTGCTATATCTTGGAGTGTGCTTCCTATGTTTCCTTTAAATAGTCTCATGGTTTCTGGGTGTAGATTTAAGGCACTGATCCATTTAGGAATTTCCACGGGGTTTGGCCCTCATATCCCCCATAGAATCTACCCCCTGATAGGGTTCTCTCTTGTGCTACTTAATTCCATGGCCCTGCCTAATGTGACCCATCATCATGTCAGGTAATGGAATATGATCCTGCTAGACAAGTCCTGAGCCTTAGCTTTTGCATGGAGTAGTGTTTGGTATATCAGTCTTATCTATAAACATCATCTGGTCCCTCTCCTCCAACCTACTAGGTCTCATTTCCCTTGCTAACCTTCAAAGGAAAAGTTTCTCTGTCGTTGGGATTCGTTCAGGATTGATTAACATCCCAGAAGTACAGTAGATTTGGCATGGAGACACCTAAGCAGCAATTCAGAACCCAGAACCTCAAAGCAGGCAGCCAATCCCATCTGCTGAACCCCTTCCCCAATCCCATCCACTGTGCCATGATGGAGGCGGGTTGGGCCTGGGCCCGGCCAGCCCTACAAACGTCCCCCTTCGGTTACTCACTGTGAATGGAGCAGTCTCTGGAGTTCAGGCAGGCACAGGGACAGGTCACTGTGTGGATGTGGTGGCTGGAATTGGGGTCCAAGCATGGAGACGATACCAGCCTGGCACCCACCATGACCTCCGGGCCTTCATCTCCAGAGACCACAAAGATCCTGCAGGGCTCAAAGCTGGTGCTACCCTCCCCACTGCTTCACCACACAAGATGGATGGAGCCCGGAGCACATTACCATTTCTCTGCTTCTGGCTGGTGCAAATAGTTCAGTGAGATTGGCAGGTCTCAGACTGCATTCGCCTCCTGAGCTCCCTGTGCGAACCGAAGTTCCCACCTGGTTGACACAAGAGCCAAGGAGAGTCTGCTGCTGGATCCGGATCACTGTAGTCTGGATTGCTGCTTGCCAGCCACTGGTGGGTTTTCCTGTTCACTGCAACACTGCTTTGCCATCACCAGCACATTCTTGTGTCCAGGGTGTCTTAGGGATGCACCCTTCCTGCTGTCTGACCCCTAATTTTCCCCAGTACTCTGCTCCCTGTGCTTCACCCTATCCAAAGATGCTCCATCAGCCCAGATGTTTCTGTACCCTATGCTGTGCCTTAAATTTATTTTTAAAATAATTTCTACTTTAATTCCATGTGATCAGAGAAACTACCTAATGATTTTCATATTTTGGCTTTTACACCTTGGACTTTTCATGTGTCTTGAATTTTTTTAAGGATTATACAAGAAGAAATAGAAACTCTGGACACAAAGATCATACCCAATTTTCCCTAAGCCTTGAAGCATACCATCCTTATCATCTGTGTTAGTATAATCAAAACTAAAGGTAAAACAAAAAAATTCATATGAAAAGATTTTTCTTTATTGGAAAGGCAGATATATGAAGAAAAAGATTCTCCCTAAGCTAGTTTACTCTCAAAGTAGCCACAATGGCTGGAACTGAACCAATCACAAGCTGGTAGTTAGGAGCATCTTCTGGGTCTCCCGTACAGGTGCAGGGTCCAAAGGTTTTGGGCTCTCCCAACAGTTTCAAACGTTCTCCATCAGAACCTCTTCCAGTCCAGATCTTGCACACACTGATGTGTCCACAGGCCAGCCCACCTTATTCCACCTCCTGTCCTAGCAGGAACAGTGGCCTTTCCTGACTGGCTTTTAACCCATTCTAGTTCTTCCTGTTCGATGTGTCAGACCAGCCAATCCTGGTACACACCCAGACACAGCTCACACATGGCTCAGTAGGGGCAGAGACCTAACCTAGCTTGTCTTTCACCTACCGTGGTCCTCCAGAGCTCCAGTGGGTGTGGAGTCTAGCCTAGCACAGTGGATCCAGCCCCAGTCCACACTTGCGCCAATGAAAACTGCAGCCATATCCAGACCAGACACAGCTCCCACTCTGGCCCCCACACTCACCAGAGAGAACCTCAACTCAACCACGATGTCCCCTTAGCTTCCCAATCAGGCCTGTTTCCAGCCGTAGATTGCATATGTGCCAGTGCTTGCTCTACCCCATGTAAACATAGTCCCTTCCCTGACTTGGTCTTTGCCTTAGATTCTGTATCCTGGCCTGACTCGGCATGCCCTGGTCTCAATTATTCTGGCAGGTGATCGAACCTGGCTGTGCTCAGTCTACTCCCATCCCTGGCTCATGTAAACCAATATGTATAAGAGCCTAGCTCAGCATGACCTGTGCTCTAGCCTGGTTTCTGTTCTTGCTGGTGAGCCAAGCTTTGCTTAGCCCTGCCTGGTTCACACCCTTCCATAACCAACCCACACATTAGCCAACAGTTGGAACTACTTTCCCCAGGTTGCCCAACCCCTAATCCTGGACCATGTGATCAGCAGTGGGAGTTATGACCCAGTAGGTTAGTTTCCCAAGTTCCCCTACTTGGGCCACTCCTAGACCCAGATCTCATACATGCCAGCTGCTGTTAGGTCCTTGCCCAGCATAGTGTCCTTCCATCTTGGCTTTGTATGAGCTGGTGTACATTGCAGCCTGACCCACCCCACATCCTGTTTAAGGATGCACATTTGAGTGCTGCAACTTGGATCTGGCCATCCTAATCTTGGTCCCTGTACCCAGGAGTGATGATAAGTTGCATGGTCACACCTAGCTAAGCCCATTTCTACCCCAACTCTGAAGCTGACCATTGGGACTTGTATTTCCACAGGGTTTGACCCACACCTCCCCCCCCACCCTCCCACACACAAACACACAGAATCTACCTACTGACCTGGTTGTCTCGCATGCTGGTTAGTATTATAGCTCTGCCTAATGTGACCCATCTTTTGTTCCGACATTGTGTTAGGTACTAGGATCTAGCCCTGCTAGACTGGACTCCAGTCCTAGCCTTCACATTGACTCTGTGGGGTTGCTATTCTTTGGTGATAACAAAACCTACATAGGACTGACAGGTAGGCTAGTGTATCAATTTCATCCATACAGATCATCCAGCAGCCAGGCCCCGAACCTCTCACCACCGAGGCCCTGAAGTCGAACTCCCCTAGGTACCTCCATCTCCAGTTTCTCTGATTGTCTTTCTCTCTTTCTTCCGCTGGTTTTCAATAAATAAATTTTTGAAAAACAAGGAGACAGAAAGCCCACAAATGTGAATGAAGGTCATGTTTCATGAGGAAATATTGACTATTGAGAGTTTTTTTGTCACTGTCTTATGGGCTTCTTGGGTTTCCACATTCTTAAAATCTACTGAAATCTGCAGTTGCAGGTATTCACACTCTTTACAATTATCCCACAGCACTAAATCTCAAGTGCTTTCATCACAGTGTGTCATATCAATGGAGTCCTTTCTCACAGCACGTTTTGTACTCTTGGAGAGATAAAATGAATAAATCTTCATTCTAGTATTCATCCCTTTTTCTCTTTAAGTTTCTATATTGCACTTAAAAATTGTCGAATATTATTAAATGGATAAGAAAAACATCGACTTATTCGAATGTGAAAAGAAAATTCTGCACATTCCACAGATATTCTGCTATAGTTTTAATGTTCTGTATTTGTAAACTGTTGTAATTGAAATATTTGTATTCATGATATTTAGAGCCTTTTTCTCTTGAACTATGATGATATTCTTTTCCTTTTAATCACTTAGAGATTAAGATCTTGAATGCAATGTAAGTTTAAAACATGCTATTTCAAATGTTAATTCTGTTTTTTAAAATTCTGTATATCAGCTATATTCATTCTTTTTCTAATAAAATGAGTAAATAGATAACCAGAGAAAAGCCTGCTAACTTTAGATTAAAATTAAAGGGCTTCACAAACTTGTGCAAAAGCAGTGATGCTACAACATGGCCTTTGCTGTATGTGTATATGTATATGTATATATACTGTTCAACTGGTTGATTGTGAGTGGCTGATATTAGTTATTGTTACAAAAAAATAGTTTTGTATGAGACTGAAGTTTGGTTTCCTTCTAAGCCACAGTTCACTATGAAGAAATTAAAATTTTAGTTTAATTTAAATGTAATTCCATATAAAAGCTAAATAAAAAAGTACAAATGGTTTTAATAGGTTCATACTAAAAATTAAAAAATAATGGCAAGGGATACTTATATATCTTTATTTCCAATGTAAGATTTAAGAAATATTTACACATTTATACATGTCTCTTCCTAATCCCATCTAACAGGTTATTTGCCATGTGTTTGTGTGAGTGTGTGTGTCTGCAGATTACAAAGTTAATCATTTTAGAATTGTTGTAGGAACCAATCTGATACAGAATCATAATGGAATTGTAGCTTCAGAATTGCAGAAATATGCAGAACAACATATTATTTTTACCCTATGTTGCAATATAGATTGTAAATTTAGCTGCATCCACACAAGGTGCAAGTTAAACAAGCACAAAAAAAATTGCACTCAGCTTACTATTACAGGCACTGAGTTAATAGTTTGGCTCAGTGTTAAAGAGATTGTTTAATTTTATTAAAAAGCAGAACGGCAATCATAGGGACAAACTGGGTGTGATGTCTTCCTCTTGCAAGTTTATTTAAACAATGCCCTCAAAAGTTCCTTAGATTCAAAATATTTCGAGAAAACAACCTTTAAGAGAATAATAAGGGATATTCTATTGTAGTATTGGAGTTGCACAAGTAATACAGGAGAACTTATTTTTGTTTTGTTTTTACTCTGTGAGGCTGTACATTAAATTGCATCCATTAAAGTTGCAAATTAAATATACATACAATTCACCGTCAGTCTTTGTATTTGATGATCCAGAACTGAGGAGACATGTACTTTATAGGTGTTGGTGTCATTTGAAGATGTGGCTGTGGACTTTACCCAGGAGGAATGGCAGCACATGGACAACACTCAGCGGACCCTGTACAGGGATGTGATGCTTGAGACTTATAACAATCTGCTGTCCTTGGGTGAGTGAAAATCTGTCATGCCCAAACAGAACACTTCTTTATGGTTGACAAGTGAAAGGAGAGTTTCTGAAGTCCCATACTAGGTAAGACTAAGTAGTGATGTCACAAAATCTACATCATTTTCCACGAACAGGGTACAGCTTGACAAAGCCTCATGTGATCTTGAACCTGGAACGAGATTTAGCACCATGGACAGTGGACAAATCTACACACCAGAGACTTCCAGGTAGGTGAGCACTTAGTGGGCATTGAAGTTGACACATAGCTCATTAAAGGTGGACTGGAACCCTTACTTTTTGTTTTTGTTTTTGTTTGTTTAAAGTGTCCTCCCAGAGGATAACTGTTGAGACACAGGAGTTCCATAATCCTCATGTGTAGGTTTACTCTAGCAATGCCTTTCAAAATTGTTGGCAAGTCACCCTACATCTAGCACTACTTATTGCTCTTTTCATGATCCCTAGCACTTGAATCATCATCTGCCACCTGCCAGATACATTCTCAGGAAGTTGTGTTTGAGTCAGACTACTCAAGCCAAGACAGATTGGTGCTCTTATGGGATGTAAGACATCCCAAACCTTATGTTGAGTTTTTGTGCCATATTTTCACTGCCATCCTGCATCAACTTAAAATGCACAATTCCAAGTAATTGAAATTTGCATTTTAAAAAGCCATTATGTTAATGCAGTAATAAAGAAGTAATGCTCATTATTTATGCTCATAAATGTCCACATTTCACTAATGTTAAAATATGCTGTATTTAGAATGGCAATAAACCTCATTGGCTGTAATTGAGCCTTGTAACAGAAAAACTTAGATGAGCTCCATGAAGATGGTTACCATTTTCCTCATTTCAGATTCCTACAGACAGAATGAACTGCTTGGAGCCAATCAGGAAAGTCAAGAAATAATCTTCAGGCAAGTTGTAATCACAAAAATTTTATAATACCCAAAAAGAGAGTTGCCCAAGATGACTTTTTTCTTAAGATATACTTATTTTTATATCAAAGTCAGACCTACAGAGAGGAGGTGAGAGAGGAAGATCTTCCATGCATTGATTCACTTCCCAGGCAACCACAACGGCTAGAGCTGAAGTGAGGAGCATGGAACCCTTTCCAGGTCTCGCACACAGCTGCAGAATCCCAAGGCTTTGGGCTGTCTTGACTGCCTTCTCAGGCCACATGAAGCAAGCTTGATGAGAAGCGGGGCTGCCTGGATTAGAATCACCGCCCATATGTGATCCTGGTACATTGATTCTAGGAATTTAGCCACTGGTATACCTCAGAGGGCCCTGATAAGGATGCTTAATATTAGCTATGCCCATAATTGAAACATGATATGAATGAGAAATTGTACAAAAATGAAACTTAAGAAATATAATTTGTTTCTTCATATATACATATATATTTCATTTATAGTGTTAATTTGAAAGTGACTAGATGAATGTAGAAAGCAGATGGAATGAAATTACATTACTTTGGAGAGAGCCAGGGGATGGTGTGCCTCTTGAATGGAGAGAGGTAGTGACAACAAAATTTCAAAAGTGACGCTTAACCTGTGTGTGAGACCCAGAAGAATTTCCTGGCTCCTGGCTTTGTGTCAGCTCAGATCCAGCCATTGTGTTCACTTGGGGAGTGAATCAACGGACGGAATATCTTCCTCTCTGCCTCCCCTCCTGTCTGCGTATCTACTTCCTAATAAAAAAAAATAAATCTTAAACAAACAAAAACTATCAAGGCCAAGAAGAATCATTCCTCAAGAGAGGATAAACCAACCTGAAACATGAGAAAGAAGCCCAGAACTTGGGTACCATGTCAGGTGCTTGGCATTCAGAATCCACCTAGGCTGTTTCAAGTCATGCAGAAAAGTGCCCCTTGCCAGGGACTGCTAATCTTCCCTAAGGAGCTGTGCAAACACAAGCAACCAGAGCCTAGACTCCAGTATGAAAATTGAGTTGGTAAGAAAAGTGCAAATAGGTAGTTGATGAGTAGTGCGTCTGAAATGCTAAGCTGCTATACTTCCTACCTCCACCCCTCTGAAAGTGTAATCTGTCTGGAGGTTTAGCTAGAGTTAGGCAGTGGTTGGATTTGGGTCTTTGTTCAACTCTTATATTGTGACACCATAGCAAATGTTACCAGAAAAACTTCTTTCAGGATCATACTATAGAAACAGAAACAGGAAATCAGTTTTCAATAGAAGCTTTATTGCTAAGTGACAGGCTAAACTTGGATGCAGGGCAGAGAAAGCACCTCCAAGAAGAGATCTTAGAAGTCTACTGGCTTTTAAAAGCAGAGAAGAAAGGCACCATAGCTCATTGGAAATCTTTTCTTCCCCCAGGATCCCTGGTGAAATGCCTCTTGAGATAAAGCATGCCTCTGATTTCCCTGAGACCAAACTCCAGAGTGGGGAAAATCTCAGTCAGCACGATAAGATGCACACTTGTCAGCAGTCTTTTGAACACAATGGGAAAGAAAAAACTTTCAGCAGGAGGAAGATATTCCTTGTGAGTGAGAAAGTCTATACCAGCGACGCATGTAATAAGCAACCTGTCAATGTGGGAAAGTCTGTGCAGCTTAAAGAAAAAATGTTAAATAACAATTCTGACTTTGACAATCATCCACAAACACAATCAGGAGAGAAACCCCAGGAACATTTCCAGAGTGAGAAATCACTTATTTATAAAAGAGATGCCAAAGTCAATCAGATAACCCAAACAGCTAGAAGTCACTGTATATGTGGTTATTGTAAAAAGCCTTTTCACTACAAATCTTGCATTATCAGCAAACATAGAAGTGACAGAGGAGCAGATTTCTATGTGTGCAATGGATGTAAAGAAAACATTGACCAGGAGTCAGAACTCATAGGAGATCAGATCCTTGGCACTGCAGAGAAGCCATATGAATGTGATGAGCATAGAAAAGTCTTTCACCAGGAATTCTCTCTCATTAGGGATCAGAGAATTCACACAGAGGGGAAACCGTATGAATGTAATGAGTGCGGAGAAGCATTTAAAATAAAGTCATATCTAATTGCACATCTGAGAGTCCACACAGGGGTAAAACCTTATGAATGTAATGAGTGTGGACAAGCTTTTAAGCATAAGTCATCCCTAATCACACATCAGATAAACCACACCGGCATAAAACCTTACGCATGTAGTGAGTGTGGAAAAGCATTTACACTGAAGTCATATCTAACTTCACATCAGAGAATACACACCAGGGAAAAACCTTATGAATGTAGTGAGTGTGGAAAAGCTTTTTTTCGGAGGTCACACCTCACTATACATCAGAGAATCCACACAGAGGCAAAACCTTATGAATGTAGTGACTGTGGGCAAGCTTTTAAGCATAAGTCATCCCTAATCAAACATCAGATAAACCACACCGGCATAAAATCTTACGAATGCAGTGAGTGTGGAAAAGCATTTACAGTGAAGTCATATTTAACTTCACACCAGAGAATCCACACAGGGGAAAAACCTTATGAATGTAGTGAGTGTGGAAAAGCTTTTGCTCAGAGGTCACACCTCGTTAGACATCAGAGAATCCACACAGGAATGAAGCCTTATGAATGTAGTGAGTGTGGACAGGCCTTTAGGCATAAGTCATCCCTATTTACCCATCAGGTAAACCACACTGGGGAAAAACCTTATGAATGCAATGAGTGTGGAAAAGCTTTTTCTCAGAATTCATACCTCATTAAACATCAGGCAATCCATACAATAGAAACCCCTTATGAATGTATTGAGTGTGGAAAAGCATTTAAGCAGAAATCATACCTAGTTATACATCAGAGAATCCACAACGGGGAAAAACCTTATGAATGTAGCCAGTGTGGAAAAGCATTTAAGGTGAAGTCATCCCTAATCGGACATCAGAGAATCCACACAGGGGTAAAACCGTATGAGTGTAGCCAATGTGGAAAAGCATTTCATTACAAGTCAGACCTAATCATACATCAGAGAATCCACACTGGGGAAAAACCTTATGAATGCAGTGAGTGTGGAAAAGCTTTTGCTCAGAAGCCACAACTCATTAAACATCAAAGAATCCACACCGGGGAAAAGCCTTATGAATGTAATGAGTGTGGAAAAAGTTTTTCTCAGAAGTCAGACCTCATTACACATCAGAGAACCCACACAGGATAAGAACAATATGAATGTCCTGTGTGGTGAAAAAAAAAGGGGAGGATTTCATTGCACATCAGAATTCACATGGGAGAAACATTAGGAATGTAGATAATGTGCAGAAGCCTTTTGGGAGCCGTCAATTTTCATTACTAAAGCATGTAAGCATATATTAGCGACCATAAACATACTGGCATGCTCTGTCAGCTTACAACATGAGTGAAACAAGCTTTAACAACATTGCAAACAAAGTACTAAAAGTAAAATCGAAGTGAAAAAACACTTCAGAAGTTCCAACAAGTGTTAAAAAGTATACATGAGATTACCAGTTGTGTTTGAGAACACAGCTATGCGTTGTTAAAGTAAGATGCAATTTGTGAGTGATCTACCTTTATTGTGAGGGGTAAAATGTGAATGAGTACTGCTTTCAGATTCTTATGTTGATAATAAATGTTCAGTGCATAACACTTGTTTGAAATACCATCTTTATCATTTCCAGAATGTATGTAGTATGAGTTTCTTGAATTTCAATATCCCACATTCTGTTTCAGAATAAATTGGAAGCAAAAATATCAACTGATGCATGTTGCAATCCTAATGCTAAAGACTCAGCTATGAAGCATGAATCTTGATCAGAGTGATGAATCTTGTGACACCTGGCCAAATGTGGATCCGATTTGGCCACTGTCCCTCCTTGAATTCTCGAATGTGGGAGATTACCCCTGGATCTGTGCCCACTTAGTTCTTGTAGGAAGCCATAGGCCCATGACACACCATGTCCCTGGGGGAAACCCTAACAATAACTGTGGACCTGTGCACGACATTGCTTAGAAACCTGCACCAAGGAGAAGAATCTGATAAGTAGAAGTACAATTATCTAGAGCAAAAGAATACACAGAAGTAAAATGAATATTATTAAAGACTCCCCTGCAAAGGAGCAAAACCTGATGCCGCCCTCAGAGTTAACTGAGGAAGACAGTGAGAAAATTGGGAACTCAGAATTCAGAAAACTCATTATAAAGCTTCTGATCAACATTGAGAAGCACATACAAGAGTTCAAAAAAATTAAGGAATATGTTACACAAAAAATAACAGCAATAGAGCAAATTAAGGCTGACATTTCAAAAAATAAGAATAGTAGAGCAAATGAAAAGTGCAGTGGAGAGTCCCAAATAAAATGAAGCAAGCGGAAAAAAAGAATCTCAGAATTGGAAGGTATTTCCACATGGGACGGTCACCCCACGGCAGTGACAGAACTCACTATGTCACAGCGAGCCCAGGGCCATTGTCCTTCTGTGTGAGCAATTTTTGCATGTTCCTTTTTCCTTTTTGATATTATATACATGAGTCTCCTTTATTAGTCCTAGACTTGTTTTTTTATTTTGTGGGGGACTGGAAGGTCAGTATGTTGGTTGGTTATTTGATATTTTGTTATTGTTGTTTAGGTGTTGGGCATCTGAACTCATAACTTTTGATTTGTATATGTCTCTGACGGTGATGGGTTCTTTCTCATTGCTATAGGAATGATAGTTATAATGAAGAGTGTGCTTTAGTCAACATAACAGATAGAGTATGTGTCCTGAATCACAGTCATTCATTTCTTGTGGTTCAAATGTTTGAAAATTGAGAGCAGGATGAGAATAGGTTTGGTTTCTCCTGAGGTCACTCCCTGGCCAACTCAGCTTCTGTGGTATTTCCTCTGTCCTTGTGTATCCTTAAAGGAACTGAAATCAGTTCGAAGGGGATTCACAGTAGCTATAGTTTCTGGTAATCACCCTCTTTTTAAATTTTTTTAAATTTTATTATTATTGCAATATTAAAAACAGAGATGAGAGGAAACAGAGAAAGATCTCCCATGCACTTATTCACTCTGCAGTGGATGAAGTGGCCAGAACTGAGCTGATCCAAAGCTAGGATCCGGGAGTTTCTTCTGGATTGCTTACATAGGTGCAGGATCTCAAGTCTTTGGGCCACCCCTGACTGTTTTCCCAGGCCACTGACAGGGAGCAGGATGGGAAGTGGAGCATCCGGGAAAAGAACTGGCACACGTAGGGCATCCCAGCACATGCAAGGTGAGGACTAAAGTCACTAGGCTACCGTGCTAGGCCCAGTAATTACCTCCTTAAAAGTGCTGTTTCTTGGGCCAACAGTGATAGCCTAATAGCTAAGGTCCTTGCTTTATACGTGCTGGGATCCCATATGGTGCTGGTAATCTAATCCCAACTGCCCCACTTCCCATTCAGCTCTCTGCTTGTGGTTTGGGAAAGCAGTTGAGGACAGGGCTTGGGACTCTGGACTTGTGGAAGACCCAGAAGAGAGTCCAGGCTCCTTGCTTTAGATTAGCTCAGCTCTGGCCATTGTGGTCGTTTGGGGAGTGAATCAATGGACAGAAGATCTTCCTCTCTTATGTCTGACTTTGTAATAGAAAAGTAAAGTATTTCTTGAAGATAAAAATTGTACTGTTTTGTCCTCAGCATGGCGGATTAGTGACTAAGGTTCTTGCCTTGAAGGTGCCAGGATCCTATATGGACGCCGGTTTGAATCTTGCTGGGCATACTTCCCATCCAGCTCCCTGCTTGTGGCTTGGGAAAGCAGTCAAGAATGGCCCAATGCCTTGGGCCATGCACCCAAGAGGCAGCCATGTGTGCTAATGAACAATTGTAATTTTCAAAATATACACTCTACAATTTGAGAAATTAAGCAATGCAAAACCCAGACATAACAATTCTACCCAGCAGTCAGCATGAGGGATGTCTTCCTATGTCTGTACCTACTTTAAATCAGAGTTACTAGAAAGTAGTACTTGGGACTAAATCAAACATGGAATGATGCATTTCCAAAAGCGTAAGCCTAATGCCATGGTCGTACAAAATATAAATCAGTGCAGATTTTCTAGTTTTGATAAGCAATTTTAATACTGAAAATGTCAAGTGTGTCATAGGTGTATTTGTCAACACAGAAGCTGATATTGCCCATGTAGTGAGCTTGGGGTGACATTTGCAAGCTTAAAAAGAAACTTTATATTGTACTTATAAAATTAAACTTTTTATATTAATATAATCAAACCTTCCGAGGCACACAAATAATGACGGTCATCAATGGGATGCATATCACTGAGTTCATTTTTCTTTTGCCTAGTGTGTCCTACTTGTGTGGCAAGTAGAGACATGCAGATTCAGAGCATGCAAGCACTCATGAGAGTGGAAAGGACAAATAGAACTTGCATTCACCAGGTCACTCCCACCATGAGCCTGGGGTTCTCCATTCCAAGCTTGGCCAGGTCCAAATCAGGAACAAAAAATCACATTGTGATCTCCCATGTAGGTATCAGGGCCCAATTCCTGGCATCATTCCCTGCTACTTCAGGTGTATTTTATACACTGACCAGAAGCAGAAAGGCTGGTACAGAATCTGGAGTTCTGATAACTGAATGCCTACATGATCAGTAGGGGCTCAACCATTGAAGTGTCTCAATAACAACCCTCATTCAAAAGGTTTTTAAAGGAAAGCAAAAAAAAATTCTTATGAAGTTTCTCAAATGGTGCTAGAGAGACAGCAAATGGAGACATATTTGAAGAAAATTCAAGGTTTGATCATGGCAGGGAGAGTCAGTGTTATTTGAACCTAGAACTGGTTCTTCCTACCCCATCATGACCAGGTCAAGGAAGAACTGCTCTCCAGGCAATTGCAACTGAGCATGCAGACCTATTGAATGTACAGTATACTCTGCACGAATGTACAGTATACTCTGCACAGCCACAAGCAATGGCATGGCTCTTAGTGTGTTTTCCCTAGTAGAATACAGTGCCATGAAATAGTCTTGTCAAATTGTAAGAAATGTCAATTCAATGGATTCTTCTTAAGTACCTGAAAGTTGTTATCCACTGACAGAAATGGATACAAGTAGATTTATTTTTATTATTTTTTTCTTTAATTGGGAGCATGTTTCTGTGGCAATATTTAAGTCTGGCTTTCTCTTTCATGAATCAGGTCAGTTCTGTCTTTCTACTTGATATCTGCTTGAGAAAGCTGATACTCATTTCATGTTCTGGAAGATAGCAATATCCTTCCAGGACATGCATTGCTAGGATCTTCTCGTTTGAGTTTCATTTTGATTCTCTTTAGAGTCACTTAGCGAGACTATTGCCATTGCAAAATCCTGCAAATGTATCCTGGAGCAGCTATGGAAATTACATTTGTCTCAGTGAAATGGGGACTGAAGAGATCAGTTTTGCACAGAATTGTGGGTGTCCCATGTATGAAGTGAGCCATCTGGTCAGTGAAGACAAACTGTGGAAGAC